TTAACGCATGTATGTGGAATCTGAAAAATTGGTATAGACGATCCTATTTACAAAGCAGAAATAAAGACACAGACATAGAGAACAAACACATGGATACCAAGGGGGAAAGGGGCAGGGTGGGATGAACTGGGATTGACATATATCTATTGATACTATGTATAAAACAGATAACTAATGAGAACCTACTGTAGAGCACAGGGAACTCCACTCAGTGCTCTGTGGTGACCTAAATGGGAAGGAAATCCAAAAAAGAGGGGATATATGTATACGTAGAACTGTTTCACTTTGCTGTACAGTATAAACTAACACAACATTGTAAAGCAACTATACTCCAATAAAAATTTTTTAAAAAAAGAAGTTATTGAGACATATTGAGATAAAGTTTGTCAGGCACTTAACACAATGCCCAGCCCACAGTGAGTGCAAGATAAAAAATTAGCTTTCATTAAATTAGTATTACTTTCCTCCAGGCAGTGAGGCCGTGTTCCTTAGTCTCCCTGCAGTGTCCAGTGTAGGGCCTTTCCGGTGGACGGCCAGTCCCCGCAGTTGGCTGAGACAAACATGCCACCGTTGCTCCCACCTTCAAGAACAATCTTCTGTCTTGAACCCTCTTCCCCCTCCAGGAAGCACCCCATTTCTTTACTCTTCTTTCTAGCAAAATTCACCGAAGAGTTTTCTATACTTTCTGCAGCCCCTCCCATTCTGTCACCTTCTAAACTTCCTTTTACAGAAATTTCAAACATACATTTTTGCCAGTCTTCTACCCCCATCTTTTTTGCTGGAGTATTTTAAAGTGTACCCCAGAAATAATACCATTTCACCCAGAATGTATCTCTAAACAGGTAAGAACTTTGAAAAGGTATCACAGTATCATTATTATAGCTAACTAAAGTAACAATACTTCCAATATCTGTGTTCAAATTTCCCCGATGGCCTTAAACATGTCTTTTTACAGTTGCTTCATTTGAATTAGGACCTAGTCAAGGTCCACACTTTACCCGGGGTTGATTTGTCTAAATCTCTTTTCCCTTCTCTCTTAAACCCACACCAATCAAGCTTCCACCCTGCCCCTTGCTCTACCCAAGCTGTGCTTTTCAGGGTCACCGATGACCTCCATGCTGCACAATGGACTCTCCTCCCTGCTCACCCTCTCCAGGAGGTGACTCTGCTGTACCGTCCTCACTGAGACCCCTCTTCACTGGGACACCACATGGTTCTCCAGCTGCCTGCTGCTCCCTCTGGACACTCTTTCTCAGCTCCCATCCCCACCTCTTGACACCGACGTGCTCCAAGGCTCCGTACCAGCCCTCTGTGGTCTTCTCTTCTCACTCATTGGTGGTGTCATCCAGCCTTGAGGCTTTAAAAGCCCTCCCAAATTTTTATCTCCAGTCCATCCAAAGACCTGCCAGCCCTCTCCAGTGCACATCTCACAACAGGCATCCCCAACTTAGCGTGGCTAAAACTCTGCCCCCTCAGATGTCCCCGTCTCATCCTTCCAGTAACTTCAGTCCAAACTCTTGGACTCATCCTCTACTCCTGTTCCTCTCATACCCACATTAACCCCGCAGGAAGTCCTGCTGGTTTGACTGCTTATCCCCACTTGCTACCACGGCCTCTCGTCCAAGCTACTTCCGTCTCGTACCTGGACTCCGCAACCACTTCTTACCTTATCTTCCTGCTGCCGGCTGGCTTTCTTCTTCCTCAAGTCTATTCTCAACCCAGCAGCCGAGGTCCCTTTGAAGCATTCTCTGCTTAAAACCGTCCACTGGCTTCCAGTTTTTCTTAATGTGGAAGCCAAACTCTTCACAATAGGTTCCAAGGCCCTATCAGTGTTTCTCAACAAGAAACGCTGGCATTGGGGCAGGAAGACTCTTCCTTGTGGGAATGGTCCTGAGCACTAGAGGGCGTTCGCTGTGGCCTTTGCCCACTAAATGCCAGCAGAGCAATGCTTTGCCCCCCTTAACCCTGCCAGCCACTGCGACAGCTAAAACATCCCCACGCGCTTCCCCCCCTTAACCCTGCCAGCCACTGCGACAGCTAAAACGTCCCCACGCACTTCCCCCCCTTAACCCTGCCAGCCACTGCGACAGCTAAAACGTCCCCACGCGCTTCCAAACACTGCCCGGTGGATTTGGAAATACCAGGTGAGAACCTCTTACAGGATCTGCTGCAGCCCTGCACGCCCCCAGCCTCCCTCCACCCCACCAAAGTCTCTGACTCACCTCAGATCACTCTCCCTGCGCTCCCTCTGCCCCTGTCTTACCTGAACAACTAGACAGGCTCCCTCACTCACCTCTGTGCTGCGCCCGCCTTGGCCAGGAAATCTCCTCCCCCAGATGGCACAGAACCCCTCCTCCAGGGCATCTCTCAGGTGCTCTCTTAGCTCTCCAGGAGGCCTGCCCAGGGCACCCTGTCTGAAATTGCAAATCCCTTTATTCCCAGGCCCCCTTGCTCTGTTTTATTTCTCCTCAGAGCACTTATCCCATCAGACGTACTCTGTTTTCATTCTTAATCTAGTTCATTTTTTGTCTATAAGCTTCCTGAAGGGATGTGAGGTTTTTTGCTCACTACTGTTCCCTGGTACTTGGCACAGTAACTGCACACAGCAGATAATCGATAAATATTTGTTAAGTGAAAGAAAGAATACAGATGCCGTAAGCATATACTTATGGAGAGAAGAAAACAAGCACTTTTAAGCCACAGGAATGAAGAATTAACTTCATCGTTAGCAAGAACTGGAGTGTGCTCAGCCCGGGGTGGGAAGTAGGGGAAGAGGCGATGAGAAACTCTGTTTATTAGATCAGTTAAGGAAGACTTCCTGAAGGAGGTGGGGCTGTAGGACTCACTTTCACCTCATTTTGAACCAGATTATAATATCCTGGGAGCTCCCCCAGCCCTGAGGACTGCAGACAACTCTTCCAAGCTGGAAGAGTGGTGAAGCGTTTTCAGGTAGGGAAGCCCGCTCCCTTAATCTTATTTCTACCGCAATTTACCAATGTCTGTAGGAGGATCCAGCCGCAGGTCCGCAGCTGGAGGGCCAAGTTCAAGTGGAGCCCCTGGGTAATGTCTGCCTACCCATCCACCACCCACCCCACCCTCAGAAAAGCCCACCCCAAATGATTACACAGAGGCAGGCTACCCAGAGCTTGCCTTCTACACGCTCAGCAGACGAGAAGAAAGGACAGCCACACAATGGAATACTTTACAGCTATTGAAAGGAATGAGACAGCTCTTTTTATACTGAATATGGAAGGATCATCAGGATAGATTATTATTGGGGGGGGGGGAAACACAAGATGCAGAGTGGCATATAGTATACTACCATTTGTGTAAAAAGAAACATACACATATCTAAACAAGTATATATATATATATATATATATATATTTGCTTGAATATATATAGACTATCCCTGGAAGGATGCACAAGAAATTTCTAACAGAAGTTGCTGGGGATAGCGGATGGGGGTAGGGTTGTGGGTGAGTGGGTGGGAAACAAGGGCAGGGAGACACTTTTCACTGAGAACACTTGCATCTTTCAAATTTTGGACTATGTCGAAGTATTACCTGTTTGAAAAGAGTAAATTAACTTTTAAAAAGAACACAACCGGATTAACAAAATGAAAACAAACGGAGCCATGTGAAAAGTTCAGCTCTTTGGGTGTTAAAATGAAAGCCACTTGCAGAAGTACAGGTGGCCAGAAGCGGAAGACAGCAGAAAGAGCCCAGGGACTTTCATTGACCTCGTTTGCCAGGTCCCATCTGTGTGGCCCGGGGCCGAGAAAGCCAGTGTTCCTAGGTGCCATCCAGAGCCAGGCAGGGTCCATGAACCTGCAACGCTGGGGGGAGGGGGAGGGGGGAAGGGGAGGGGGAGGGGGAAGGGGGGAGGGAGGGACTCTCCTTGCCCCCACGCTGGCTGGGCCACACCTCCTGGGCCACAGGGCTGTCTCCAGCTGCTGTGTTCTGGGAGCTAGAAGCCAGTGACCAGGTGGGCAGAGACACCCCCAGACCCACGTGGAGCAGAAAGTGTAGGCGTCAGTGTGCTCACTGGAAAGAAAAGGAGAAAGAAAAGGAGGCGGCTGGAGGGAGCCGTCCAGGAGGCCAGGGAGGGGGAATGACTGTATTCAAATATTTGAGAGGTTGTCAGGGAGGGAAGGAGGAGCCCCGTTCGGAGCCCTCGGGAAGCCTCCACCTTCAAAAATCACTTTCTGGCCCAGTTCCTGCCAGAGGGGTCCCCGAATAACTGCTGTCCTTCGAGTTCCCAGTGCGCCTGGGTTGCTCAGTGCTTTATTGGCATCAACTCTGAATTTTCGCAGCGGTCCTGGAAGGTTATCACTAATCCTACCCCCATTTTACAGACAAGGAAGCCAAGGCTGTCATTGCTGAGGATCACAGTTAGTACATGACCGAGTCAGGGTTCAAACCCCAGGCCACCTTCTGAGCCACTATGGTTATCACAGGCTGGGCCAGAACTCGAAGATTTGTACTTGTACAAAATACAAATATAGATATGGAAGGCTAAGACGGAGCTCGGATTCTCTGGCCAAGGTGACTCGGGTACAAGGAAGGCTAGGGAGGTGGACGCTCGGTAGGACTGGACCTCCGTTCTATTCCTGGGGGGCTGGAGCGGGAAGCCCCCGCAGAATTCACCCCGCCCTCCCCGACCTCTGTGACACCACCGTGATCCCGGCTTCCCCCAGCACGGCGAGGGCCCTCCCCCCAACCCGGGCAGTGGCCCACGGAGGCCGGGACCGGAGCGCACGCCCCGCCCGCAGCGCCCACACCCTCGGGCAGCGGCCCGGCCTGTCGGGTGTGGGGCGGGGTCGCAGCCCGGAAGCTCCTCCCCCGGGAGGCGCGCGGCTGGGATGCTCCCAGACGACGTGGGCGGGCGGCTCGCCAGGCTAGCGGGGAGGGCCGCGGGGGTGGGGGGAGGGGAGCAGCGGACCCGCGAGACGCGCCCCTCCCCACCCCCACGGGGCCCGGGCGCGCAGTGGGGGGGGATGGGGGAGCAGCGGCCGCGCTTCCCGGGCGCGTGACTCAGCAGCCTCCACGCCGGGATGGGCGCAGGGCGCGCGGCTTCCGGGCGCGGGGGTGGGGGCTCACTCTGCCGCCCCCGCTGGGAAGCGCCGAGGGGCGCGTGGGCGGGTAGATCCCGCGCCGCCCGCCGCAGCTCGCCAGGCCGCCCACGCAGCCGCGAGCCCGGCTCGTTGGGTCCGCCCCCGCGGAGCCCATGGGATGCGCCGCCCGCGGAAGGGCTTCCCCAGGCTCCCGGCGAGTCGGGGGGAGGAGGGGGCTGCATCCTTAGCGCTCCCCTCCAGCTGTTGACGCGCCAATGTCCAGAGGGGGCCCCGTGGAAATTCCTGGGGGACTGGAGCGGGAAGCCCCCGCAGAATTCACCCCGCCCTCCCCGACCTGCGGGGCCTGGCCGCCCTACACCCGGCCCCAGGGTCTGTCTCCTTTGTTTTCTCGAAATGGAGAGTGGGTTCTGAGCTCCCTTCCTAAGGCTCTTACCATTTGGAGGTCACTTTGCCCGTCTAAGGTAAGTGCTTCCTGCTGCAGCAGCCTCTGAACAGCCCTGCTTTGCCACAGACTCAGTGAGCTGAGGGCGGAGAGGGGCCCAAAGGTGGGCAAAGACTGATTGTCCCCATTGGGCAGAGGGGACACCAAGGCCCAGTGAAGGGGGAGCGGCTTGCTGCAAGGTCACACTTGGGGTCTGTGAGGGTGGACACAGCAATCGGAACTCGGGAGTCCTGGCTTCTGGGCTCAGTCTAGCTTCTGGGCTCCCTCCCCACCCCGATCCAGTGCTGTGCAGCACGGTGCCTTCACCTGCCTCTGGAATTCCCTTTGGCCCTCACCCACGGGCTCTTACGAGTTGAGTAGCTCCAGGAATGTCCAAGATGCCCAACCAGCCGGTTTGGAAGCACCAGGGCATCTCCGTTTGTAAAGACCAGACTGTGCACTGGAAACGCTGAAACTAGACATAGGCAAGAGATTCCCAACTGCTCTGCAGAGTTTTTGTTGCTGTTGCTGTTTTAAATAATCATTGTGTTGGATTGATGTGTTGAATGAAAATTGTGGTCGTTTGGAATCATTTATCACAGAAGAAATGGTGGAATTCCCTTGCCTCTCTGCTGGGATGGGGAGTGCATTCCTGGCTGGAGGCAGGGGGACAGCTGGTTTGACCTGACTTGTCCAGCCCAGAGAGGTCGTGGGCGCCAGTCCCTGGCCGCAGCCAGGCCAAGTTGGGTGCAGGGAAGATCACGCTGCAGCCTGGCATATGCATCTTGCTGCTGCTGGTACCTGACCTTCCAAACAAAATGCGTCACTAGACCCCCAGATGTCTCGCCCCTACGCCGCCCACCGTCCGGGCAGCCTTTTTCCCAGGAGCTCACAGCCTCCAGAGGCCAGGTCTTCTTCACGCTCGAGGCAGAGTGAGGGGTAGAAAATGGGGCATGGAGGCACTGTAGACTCGCCCCATTTTACAGACGGGAGGACCTGGCTGGCCAGAAGAGAGAAACAAGCACGCAGAGAAAAGGAGAAGGAACCCAGAGTCCTGACAGGGTGACGAGCCCCGGGGGTGGGGAGACAGGGAGAAGGAAGGCCTGTGCTGTGTGGTGGGATCCTCACCCCTTTCCCCCAGCCCAAGTCAGGAAAACACTCACCCACACTCAGACGCACCCCCTCAGTCCCACAAACGCAGCCACGCCGGATTCACATCTAGTCGCCTCCCGGCAGGGTCCTAACGTCTCCCTGACCAGAGCTGACGCCACTGCCTGGCAGAGAAAGAGGAGAGGCCTGGAGCCTGATGCTGCTTCCTGTTGCTTCTCCCAGGCCAGAGTGGGACCCCAGAGTCCAGCTCTCCTTTGTCTCTTTCTACCTGGAGACGTGGCCGCGATTCCGGCTTCCTCTCCCTCCCATCCTCATAGGTCCATTTTCCGTTTCTGGTTCAACCTGCTGACAGGCCATGTGTGTGGGTGTCTGAGGTGAAACACTCCAAGGGCTTTCTCTGCTTCATTCTTTTGTTTGGCCGTGGCGGGATCTTCGTTACCCAGCCAGGGATCGAACCTGCACCTCCTGCAGTGGAAGTGCGGAGCCTTAACCACTGGACCGCCAGGGAGGTCCCTCATGCTTCATTCTTAATGCAGCTTCCCAGGCTAAAGACTGGACTGGGCAGAGGCTGGGGGCAGAGCGGAAGGAGGGCTCTCCATACTCACCGGTAGAATTGAGGTGGGATCTGTTAGCTGCGAGGGGCACCCAGGTCCCCCTCACTCCCCAGATGGCCTTAAGAGCTAAGCCTCTGATCCAGCATTTCCCAGGTGCTCAGCTGCAGAAACTGTGCTCGTGGGCCAGAGCACAGCCCACCCCCTGGTGGGGCTCCCTCCAGATGAGACCTTCTTCAGCCCTGACTCCATACCCCCTCCCTCCACTCAAGCGTGGATGGGCCTGCCTGTGCCCTACGCACTGAGAGTTTATTCCTTCCAGCATTACTCACCACACACCTACTAGGTGTTGAGTTGGCCTCCATCCCCCATGCTATTCATCCCCACCGTGACAAACCCCAATAGAGCTGTGTGAAATTTTGCCACCCAAAAAATTATTTTAAGGGCTTCCCTGGTGGCGCAGTGGTTGAGAGTCCGCCCGCCGATGCAGGGGACACGGGTTCGTGCCCCGGTCTGGGAAGATCCCACATGCCGCGGAGCGGCTGGGCCCGTGAGCCGTGGCCGCTGAGCCTGCGCGTCCGGAGCCTGTGCTCCGCAACGGGAGAGGCCACGACAGTGAGAGGCCCGCGTACCGCAAAAAAAAAAAAAAAAAAAAAAAATTATTTTAAGAGCCTAGAAAGGATCAAAAGTGCTTACCAAGCACCAGGATGCTCCTTAAATTCCTGCGTTATGACTTTTACACATGAAGCTCCTTGGGGAAGTATTCCTTCTCCAGCCCAGATAATTACTTTTTCAAGACAAGCCAGTGTGGGAGTGAGTGCCCTGGGTCCCTGCCCTTTGCTTACCAGGCCCAGGCAAGGCAGTGCTAATTCTCTGCAAAATACAGTGGAGGCGAAGACCATTTAGACTCTCAACAGCATCCCCCGTGAGCCCCTCAATGCCTTATAAGCCTGCTGCCCTGGCCGCTAGGCATCCTCCTCCCTTATCAAACCCGCCCTTCAGAAACTGCTCAGATGAACTCTTTCATGCTGAAGTGCAACAGTCTAATAGAGCCAAATGTGTTGTTTTTTTCTCCTGTCCTAGGAGAATTTGCATTTTAACAAGGGGGATAACCTTGAAGTACCCAAAGGAATCTCTACGTGTAGAATTGCTGGCATAGGCGAGATATTCTGGAAGGCAGCGAGACCCCTGTGGAATGCCTGAAGGCCCCATAACTCGCGGTAAGTTTGGCCACGCACACCCACGGAGCAGTCCTGACTGGTCCTCTTGGTCCCCCACTATATTGACGAGAGTACTGGATGAAGAGTTTAGAGAAGCTGAGTTCTATACCTAGTTCGGCCACTAACCAGTTTGGAAGCACTAGTCACTTCTGTCTTGGGCCATAGTTTTCTCGTTTGCCAAATGAGAAGTTCAGTCCAAATGACCTAACAGGACCTTTCCAGCTCTGACATTCACCTGACTCCCCAGAGGGGCTGGGGGACCCTGGTCCAGCTCCTAAGGCCCTCCAGCCCCTGCAGCTGTGGCCCGGAGGAAATGACCTGCCACCATACAGCGTGAGGGTGTGGGGCAGGGGGACACTTCTCTGGACTTGGACAGGCCTGCAGGCTCCCTGTCCACAGAGCCCGGGCCCCAGCTGGCAAGGAAAGGGAGCGCTCAGCACAGCCCAGGCATTAGCATCACAGAGTTACATAACCCTCCAGATGGGATATTCCAAACAGCAACAGCACGACAGCCTTTGCCCCACGCCGTGTCTCAGCACGCACACACACACACACACACACACACACACACACACACACACAGCCACGACCACCTTGCCACCCTTTCTTTTCCGTTTGTTTTGTGTTTTCTAGAAGGTATTTCATCTAACAGAGTCCTTACGAGAAGAAACTCCTTTACCCTCTCGGCTTGACCAGGAAAATCAGAGTCCTCCTCCAGCCACCCTCCCCCCCAGCCTCCACCAGAACCCCACGTCGGGTCAGGCCTCCCCTTTTCTCGGCCCCTCCCTGCTGTTCTGCCTCACTTTCTGACCTCAGAGTCCTGCAAAGTGCGGTTCTACCTTGTCCTTTCCATTCCCGGGATGGAAGAATTTGGAGCAATGGGTTTAGCTTTCATTCCAGCAAATGGGAGGCAATCTCCTGGTTCAGACTCCAGTCCCCCACTCTCCACTTTTGTCCTTGTCACGTCTGCGTACTAGATGAGACTGTAGTTTCCCCATTTAGAAAATGGATGAGGTCATTCTCATCCCCACGGGGTATTGGGTGGTAACTCAGATCCCTTCAGTGTCCTTAAGAGAAGTGCAAACAATCTGAAAATGCAACCGAAGAAATTTAGGTTGGGCTTAAGGAAGCATTTCCCAGCTATACAGTTGTGAGACCTCATTATAGATCACTAAGGGATGGTGATTTGTCCTGCCTAGCTGCATTTTAAGGCAAGCGCCCATTCACATATCTGGAATAGCTTGGGTGCACACTGTCCAGAGGTAGGGGAGTGGTTGAGGAAAGGTCACTCTAGATAGGTGGCCTGGAAGAATTCCTGAAGGAATGCTGAACCTGTATTCTCCTGGATAGCTATGGTCTAACTCTGGATGAGCCTTGGGCCCTGGTTTCTTTATCCATAGAAATGTTACAATATATTGAGCACTTACTTTGTGCCTGAAACAGTAAAAAAAAAAAAACCTATCTAATTTTAAAAGTTTAAAACATCCCTTTAAAGTAGATATTATTCTTCATATCATAAATGAAAAAACCACGGCTCAAAGAAGGTACACCATGAATGTAAGGTGTCCCAGCTGGTAGGTGGTAGAGCAGGATTCATACCCAGGTATGCCTACCTCCAAAGCCCATGTTCTGAACCACCTAGATCTTGAAAATTCTGTGATTCTATGGTTTCCTTAAGTTCCTGTTGGCCTGAACAGCCTAAGTTCTCCCTCGCTCTACTCCTGCCCCTTTCTGTTTGTTAATGCCCTCATTGCCTGAAATGGAGAGGACCGCTCCATTCCTGCGTGAAAACAAAAACCCTTAGCAGCCCGTGTGGGAACCCGCGCTTTGTGCTTTTCCAGAAGCAGAGGAGGAAGGCGCTGCAGTGGCCCAAGCCTCGGAGATCCTGCCAGATGGCCTTACATTTGGGGATCTGCCAGATGCAATGAAAGCATCCTCAGGACCTCTTACTAAGAAACCCCTTACGTGGGATTTCAATCCAAGATCCAGGCCTCTTTCCAGACCAGGGTCCAGCTGCTTGTCCTGGCTCTCCCCACTTTTTCATGTCACCCTCCCTTTCATTCACTCTCCCCCCACCAGACCTGACCCCCATCTGCCGTTTTTCATAAGTGATCTTTGAAACTCAGGCCGCATAGATATTTGCTGAATCAGCAGGACCAACTGCTGCTCCTCCCACTGGGTTTCAGGCCAAGAGGAAGACGCGCCAAATGCCTGTGCAAGGGCCACTGGTGCTGACTGTGTGGGCCCAGGAAGGGCTCCGGCTAGGAAGGAGATGGCTGGGGAGGAAGGCACACGGGCTGCTGAGCAGCAGGGAGGCCGTCGGGTTTTCCTGAGGCTGGGGTGACTGGTTTCTTTTTGGATGAGAGGGAGGGAAGAACACTGGTCCAGGCCCTCGGAGAGGCAGGGGACAGCAGATCGTCACCAGTGCCTGCTCCGTACCAGCCGCTGAGTGAGCAAAAGACACCCACGCCCTCCTCTCAGTGAGCCTTCATTCGGCCCCTTTTCCAGGTGAGCAGCCCGAAGCTCTCTCCTCGCTGAGACAGGAAAGAGAAGGAGGACAGGCAGGCCAGGGAGCCAGGCAGTAACGTTGCTTCCTCAGCAAGAAGGGCTTTCGGCCACAAGGCAGAAAGGACCCCGGCACCAGATCTCCTTCCCACGTTGATGGGTTTAGCCTAGTCGGGGGAGGGATGATGGGGGGAGGGGCTGTAGGTCAGAGGGTGGGATGGTGAGCACGCGTAGCACAGACATCTCTGTGGATCGGCTCCTCCCGGCTCCGTCCCCCTTCCAGCTCTCCTTGGTTCTCGCTATTCTTGACATAAGCCCTTGACGCCAACCAAGGAAACCTCTCTGGGCTCTGAACATGCTTTGTACGCTCACCCTCTTAACCCCATTCTGTTCTGATAGAGGATGGCTCTGGGCACCTGCGGTCCGCTTCCACTTATTTAGGTGTTTCTAGGTCTGTGTCTTGGGTGTGTTGAGCAAAGGGCTGGCGGCATCTCTCCTGTCTTTTTGAACGGACCGGACGCTTGATACAGTAGAGTTGACTGACAGACCGTCATACTCTCTTAATAGCTCCCAGGAGGGGCCAGTCTTTGCTGTCTGCCACCTCCAGGCAGACAACCCGGACTCAGTAGGAGCAGAGATGCCGGCTCCAATCAGCATCTCAGACAACAGGCTAAAAAGCACGTCCAGGGGTCTTCCGGCCGTGCCCCGGCCTCCAGGTAGCATGAGACCGTGGTGCTCAAAAGATGACTCAAGATTCAGTTTACGCTTAGGGTGGGAGCAGAGAGGAGGAGACTTCCCTACGCAGCTTAAATGGAAGCAAAGGATGGAAGGAAGAAAATACAGGAGAGGGAACATATTTGAGGGGAGGGAAGGAGGGTAAGAGCAAAGGAAGGAAAAGGAGAAGGGGGAAAGTAGGGAGGAAGAGGAAGGGTGTAAAGAAAGACAAGGGAGGAAGAGGAGAACGCGGGAGCTATTCGGACTTCACGGTGCCTTGGAGGTAGGGAGCCCAGGGTAGGTGCTGAATTTGAATTATAAGGCAGGAATCTTTGCCACCCTCCAGTAATCCTCTGCCTGTGGACTTGGGGACTTGGGCAGACACTGGGGTCCGCTGGCTCTAAATGCATGGCTGGGTGGGTGGGCCAACGTGTGCTCAGACAGAGAAGTTGTGGCCACACTGAAGCCGGGAGCTTCAGGTCAGGTCACGTGCTTCCATGACGCGGAGGGGATTTTTGCCAGGTCAAGCTGAGGCTCTGGCTCCAGCCAGGAAAGGGATAATCAATTCTGTAGATGCTGTGAGCCTTGATTGAAAAAATAAAGAGGAGGAAGCTAGATTGCTGCTCTCATTAAGAGGCAAAGGCAGTGGGGGCTGGAGTTTAGCGAGAGCCAGGAAGCAGCAGAGAAAGAATTTTAACCCCTCGGGTGTTGTTCTTCCGTGATGCCTTTGAGCTCACCCACACCCGCGTTGTTGCTTCCTTGGCCAGACCTCCAAGGCCATCACCTTCAGTAGCTCCCTCAGCTGAAGGAGGGAGAGAGGCCAGGTTGCATGTTAATGCAGATCTGATGACAACTAAATAATCTATTATTTCCCAGCCCCAGGGTCCCCAGGGCTCCTGCGTCTCCTGGATTTGGGGAGGAAGATGAGTTCTGGGGCTAAGAGATAAGCCGTGCGGTGAGGTAATGCATCTCACGCTGCCTGGCCCCTGGTAACCCTCACGCACCCTCAGCAACCTCACCAGAGCTGCATTCTCAACCTGATGGGTCCAGAGAAGGGGACGTAAGAACGGATTTCAGCAAAATTATGACCCAGGGACCCCCTCCGCTGGCTCTTCCTCCTACATCAGCGTGCCCAGTAGAGAACTGATTCATCAGGGAGATCCCCAGGAGAGGCCCCAGGGAGAGGGCTGCTGGCTCAGCTCTCCCTCTCCCCATGTCACCGGATCCATGGAGAGGGGCCCCTGCCGGCCGCCTGCATCTAGCCCTACACCACTGAGAGGCTGGGCAGAGGAGGACAAGACGTGCAAAATTGGGGTCGTGGGTGGAGAGCAGGGTGGGGCTAAACACGTAGTCAGCAAAGATGATTCCTTCCTGAGATTCTGGGGGGGGAAACTTGGACTGAAGTTAAGCAAAACAGTGGGAAGAAATGGGTGATCCAAAGGGCGTTCAGTCCGCCTTGATGTTCATGATTTCCCATGCGAGTGGGGAGGGAGCTGCAGGAAGAGTGAGGAGGCATGCGTGTCTGAGCTCCCTAAGTCTCTGGGTGTCCGGGCTTGGGGAGCAGGGGGTAAAAGCTGGAGGATCTGGAGAAAGGAAGGAGTTACTGCTGGGTTTAACCTCTTGGTGCCTGGCACAACTTCCCGCGTGAAAGATTTCCAAAACTTCCACTCTCTTCCACCATCTTAACTACTTATTTTTGTTCTGCTCCCTTGGGAAGCAAAAGCAGGACAAGGGAGAAGGAAAGATGAGGACATGACGGTTTCTCTCCAGTTTTGACATGTGAGGATGGGTAGGAATCCAGGTGATTCCTAAAATCCCTGGATTCCCAGCAAGAGCACCTGAGCAGGAGAGTTTGGGTCTTTAAGCCACCTTGGGGGCCACAGCAAAGTCCTTATCCAAGAAAAATGATCTTTCCTCAACCGGTCTTGCCCACACAGTCCCCTGAAGGGATGCAAAGAATGTGGGGACGTGGTGGAGGAGGAGGGAGACGCCAAAGGGCGTGAGGAGCGGAATCAGATGAAGAAGCACAATTCCCACAAAGCCGTGGCTACCCCCGGGAAATGGAATGGAATAGCTGCCCGTATTTGGGGAAAAAGCCACATAGTATCTTGGATTTTTTTTCCTTTTTTTTTTTTTTTTTTTGCCTTTTGCCTCTTACTGAGCCAGGGGCACTGAGGGAAAACTGACTTTCTGCTTTTTCTGCCAGATAAGGAAAGAAAACCATTAAACTGAAGGAAGGGCAAATGGGCCATTGAGGAAGGTAGGAAGGAAAACCACATCTTCTTGGGACTTGCATCAAATGCTGCGAGATCATCCTGGATCTTCTGCCTAAGGACCCGAAGTTCTGGTCAAATCTATCCTGTGTCCTGACCCAACTTGTCTAACTCTGCAGTAGATGCGAGGAGAAAATGAGTCTACATCAAATCTTCACAAGTAGCCCTAGACTAAGGCACGCCAAGGCTGCTGAAGGTGATTCTTGGCTCTCCACCCTTCCCACCCCCTCCCCCAACTCCCTTAGCATCCCCATCGCCAGGGGCAGGCGCTGACTAGGTTCTGATTTCCCGTGAGGTGTTCTTCTATCACCTGTCTAATGAGAGAAAGGAAGCTGACTTGGTCACAGCCTTCCCAATACAGAGGAGAGAATATTCCAATCCTCTTTCATCTCTTCTCCCCATATCTCTAGTTCATGGACATTGGGCATAAAGAAAGAGCTTGAAGTCCTAGAGTTTCTCATCAGGGGCTAATGAGCATATTTCTCTCTGGACCTAACATGGGATTCCAGTCATCACCAAATAACCAAGGGGAAGCAAGGTTTGCAGTCACCAGCCACAACAGAGATTTAAACAGGAATTCCACCCAAATACCATCTCCGCAAGCCAACTGTCTCTCTCATCATTATCCCCTTTCCACGATTGCTAACACCCAGCACAGAAATCCTCCTTGAGTCAGAGGAAAAAGCTACAACCAGACTGAATCCTGACACTATAAAGGGACCCTCTATGGGCCTGGTGGGTTGTTACCTTGCACCCCTCTGGGTCTGTGGGCATTCAGAAGAAAGGTGCCCACTCAGGTCAGAGCAGAGTAAGCGTGTCCAAATGAGCCACTCCTGGCTTGGACTCCCACTGCATCACTTAAAGAGCCACCTCGTTCCTCTGGGAAACGCTTTCTCCCACCCTTCCTCTTCCTCTGTCTCCAGCCCCCCGCCTTCTCACATCATCCTGCCTCTCAGCCTTGTGCTCTGCCTTCTGAAGCCCCTCAGACCCCCTGGACCCTGCCCTTTTCAAAGCTCTCAACATGTCTCTTTGCCAAGCCTCCGTCTTTTTCATAGCTCACTCTCCATTCGAATAATTTTACTACCCAAACTCCCATCCAGATTTTTCCTAACTTGAAAAGATTCTTCAACTGTTCTCTTTTCTTCAGTTTAATCTGCCCCCCAGTCTTGTCCCCTTTAAAATCTGCCAGTTTCCAATAACCCTCATTTCTTTCCTCCTTTGCCCCCAGTGATGGTTGGGATACTCCCGTTGGCTCCAACACCTCCCAAGCCCTTTCAGACACTGATATCATTCCCTCCTTTCCCCCAAGCCTCCTTGACACACTTCTCCCCGCAAGCACACTGAAGGCCCTAGTCCTTCAGTCTCGGGTGCACCCCACTTCCCCCTTGTCCCCTCCTCACGCCCGTTTGCTTCCCTTCCTCCCGGCACGTTGGTCCCCGTGCCGCCTTCCCCACTCACTCGGGTCTCCTGCTCAGGACGCCCTTGCCGAGGGCGGCGGGGGATTTGTGCTGAAGGAGGGTTCCAGCAGCGGCGCAACAGCTCGGGGGACGCTCCTTCTCCTTGTCGGCGACGGCCCCTGGCCCCGCCGGGTGGTGGTGGGGCGGCTGGGATGCGTGAGCCCTGCCGCTGGGGCCCGCCTGGGGCTGCGCCAGGAGCTGTCCGTGGTGCTGAAGCGGGGGCTTCTCGGGCGCGGTGGGCGGGAGCTGTCCGTGGTCCCGGAGCTGTTCCTGGGCCCCGGAGGCGGCGGTGGCCGGGGTGGCCGGCAGCGGGGCTGGTGACGGGGGGACGAGCCCGGGCGGAGGCACGGCTTGCAGCAGCTGCTGGTGCTCCCACAGGCTGCGGTTCTCGGCGCTTAGCTCGTCCAGCCGCCGCTCCAGCTCGTCGATGCGCTGGCGCTGCGTGTGGATGAGGCTCTGCTGGTTCTGCACGATGGCCGTGAGCTCCTTGAGGTAGAGCACGGCGCGCACCGGGTTCTCCAGCAAGCTCTCCATGCCGCCCGCCGCCGCCTGCGCCCTGCCTCCGCCTGGGCGGGCGGCGGGGAGCGCGAGGGCGCGCAGGAGCCGAGCAGCCCCGGCGATCCGCTCGCCTCGCTCTCCGCCGGCGCCGCGTCACCGCCACACAGACATTCACACACGCACGAGGGGCGGGACCGCGGCGCCAGGGCCCACCCCTCCCCCCCCCAACCTCCCACCTCTAAGCTTCGTGAGGAGTCTCGGCTTCCTGCAGGGCTGGCAGGGGAGCAGGATAAACGAAGGGACCCGGGATGGATGAGCGGGATCTGGCGAGAAAGGGAAAGCCGGCCAGGCGGAAGCAGCGGCACCGGGAGAGTGCGGTGGGACCGGTAGGAGAGCAGAAGCAGATGCGGAAAGAGGAGGAGGAGAGCGGCTGGGAGAACGAGGAAGCGCAGAAAGGAAAGGTGGTGAAAGGAGAGAGAAGTGTATTGGAAAGAGGTGGTCTGACAGGTCACGGGTTCTTTTTCCTATGTCCAGTCATCCTAGAGGACGAGGGTCCACCTTAAAGACCTTGTGAGGAGAGGCCACACGCTCGGCAGTCTGTTCTGCTGGGGTCTTCCCTGGATCGGGGGGATCAGAGGACAGTAAGGGACCCCAGCGAACATCCGGTCCTACCCCTCCAGCCAAGGAGAAAGTTCGGGTGGGAAGGCTGTTTCCGCTGGATTTTGTCTGGGAATGAGACCTCAGGACAGTTTGGGCCACTCTAATGGGAACACAGACTAAATAAACCGGGCCCTCTGTGTCACAGGGCTAACGCTTCCAGAAACTTCTTAAGAGAGCGGTCTGTTTGAAAAATATTTATGAAATGCATACTACACCGAACACTGTGCTAGGTGGTGGTAAGATAAGGATGACTAGGACGGACTCTTTGGCTTCTTGAAGCTTCTGGTTAAGTAGGAGAAACAGGTAATAAATATTTAATTTCAATAGAAGGTGGTTGTTGTAAGTGATAAGATAGAGATTGCCCAGAGCGCTATAGGAGCCCAACAGCTTGGGGATTTGAGAAGGCTCCTTGGAGGGAATAAGACTTGAAGTGGGAAGGATTTTCTAGAAAGGGGGAACAGCATAAGCAAAAGCTCAGAGATGGGAATCCGCATGGACTGAATCATTCATTACTTTCTACAATACATGTACATAAAACACAGACTAAGCGCCAAGTAACGTACTAGGAACTATGTAGTTTAGCCCTAGCATGGACCATAAGTTATAGTTTCTATAATCAAGATTACAACCTAGTAGATACAGCATGCACATGAATATCTAAAATACCAATCAAAATTTCTGTAAGGGCTCTTCAAGCCAAGTGCCATAGGAGTTCGGGGGAGTGGGAAGTTGTGTTTGACTATGGTGATCTGATAAGGGGGAGGTGTTATTCAAGCTGGGCCTTGAAGAATGGGAAGTGTTTCAACAAGTAGAACAGAGGAAGACAGGGGAGATATGTCAGGCAGCAGGAAAAGACTAAGGAATGGAAATAGAGCACCTCCGTTCAATCCAATCTGGCAAAAAAATGACCCTTTCCTCTGGGCTATGAGTACCCTTAGCATATCTGTTGTACTGTTGTATCTTCCACCGAGGTGGGCCACCAGCCTCCCTATGGACCTGCTGTTCCCCCCCAGAGTAGGCATATCTGTTGGTACCACGTGTCCCGTGAGCTGGGCCAGCCAAGCCCGCCTGGTGCCAGACTTGAATGACATTATGGGAAAGGATCTGTGCTCTGCAAATAAATATATTGGTTTCTCTGCACTTGTGTTTTTACTGTGCTTTCCTCCCATCCATTTTCCTAGCAGACTTCCTTTTGTAAAGAATGCGTGAAGGGAGCTTAGCCACAGCTGAGCCAGCTTCCAGGAGGATGCTTTGGTAGTGACCGGTATTCCAGCTGAGGAATGGAGGTTGAGCGGTGGGATGAGGGCCCACAAAAACTCAAACACTTTTCTTCTGAATTTTCCTTGCTTGCCTAGTTGATTCGTTGTCTGAATAAGAGTTGGGTGTTCATAGAAACCAATACCATTTCTATAAGCAAAACAGCCTGCAGCATAATTCTCTATGGAGCTTGTTTAAAACACAGATATCTGGGCCCCGTATTAGTCCTGCTGTGTTGGAATCACTTGAAATGGGGCCCAAGTGTTTTCATATTTTTAACTTTTTTTGTTTCATTTAAAAAAAACTTTATTGGGTTACAACTCACATGCAATAATATGTACCCACTTTGAGTGCACGGTTCAATGAATTTTGACAAATATATACACCTTCTAATCAAAATTTCCATCACTGCAAAAAATGAGGTTACTACCTCATGCCCCTTTGCAGTCAGTTGCTGTCATCCTCATCCCCAGTCAACCACTGATCTGCTTCCTGTCAAGACAGATGAGTTTTGCCTGTTCTAGAATTTCATGTAAATGGCAATCATAGAGTATATACTCTTTTGTGTCTTCCTTTTTTTCCCACAGCATAATATTTTTGAGGTTCATCTATTCTCTTATAGGTATCAATAGTTTGTTCCTTTTTATTTCTGAGTAGTCTTCTATGGTATGGGTAAACCATAATTTTTCTACTCACCTATTAATGGACATTTTAGTTGTTTCCAGGTTTTGGTTATCTTGAAAAAAGCTGCTATGATCATTAAAGGACAAGTCTTTGTGTAGACATATGCTTTCATATGTTTCATGTTTCATGTTACATGTGTCTTATCAGAAGGAAAAATCTAGAATTGGAGTTGCCAAGTCATATACTAAATATATATATATATATATATATATTTAACTTAATAAGAAACTGTCAGATTGTTTTCCAAAGTGGTTGTACAGTTTTTTATTCTGACCAGCAGTATGTGAGAGGTTCAGATGTTTTGCATCCTTGCTAACGCTTGGTATTTTTAGCCTTTTTTTTTTTACTTTATCCATCAGGAGTGTATTAATATGGCTTTAGTAAGTGTTTCCCTATTGAGTAATGCTGTCGGGTATCTTCTCATGTGCTTTTGGCCATTCGGCCATTATCTTCCTTACCCACTGTTTCTGGTGAATTGTTTGCCTTATTTTTGAGTTGTAAGAGTTCTTTATTTATTATGCAAAGTAGTCTTGGCCAGATGTATGCACTGCAAATATTTTCTCCAGTCTGTGGCTTACCTTTTTTTTTTCTTAACATTGTCTTTTGATGAGGTTTTTATTTTGATGAAGAAAAATTTCTTTCTTTCTTTTATAGTTCATGCTTTTTGTGTCCTATCAAAAATTCTTTGCCTGTCCCACGGCCAAAACCATATTCTGTGTGTTCTTCTAGAAGTTTTATTGTTTATGCTTTTATGTTTAGGCCTATGATCCGTTTCAGGTTAATTTTTGTGTTTGGTATGATGAGTCAAATTCCATTTCTTCCTTAAATGTTTGACATAATTCACCACTGAAGCCATCCCAGCCTGGAGGCTTCTTTGTGGGAAGAACTTTAGTAGATATGGGGCTATTCAACATTCTCTCTCTTTGTGTATCCATTTTGGCCATTTGTGTCTCTGGTAGGCAGAATGACCTCCCAAGATGCCTTTGTCTTAGTCGCCAAAACCTGTGAATATGTTAACTTATATGGCAAAAGCAACTTTAAGTGTGCGGTAAAGTTAAGGACCTTGAATTGGGAAGATTATTCTGGATGATCTGATAGGTCCAGCGTAATCACAAGGGTCTTTGTGAGAGGGAGGCAAGAGTGTCAGAGAGGAGATGTGACAACAGAAGCAGAGGCCACAGTGAGGCACTTGCTGTCTGGAAGCCAGAGGGCAAGGAATGCAGAAGCTGGGAAAGGGAGGGAAACACATTCTCCTCCAGAGCCTCCAGAAGGAACGCAGTCCTGCCAGTACCTTGGCTTTAGCGAGGTGAGATGCATTTTGGATTTCTGGCTTCCAGAACTCTAAGGTGGATGGTGAATTTGTGTTGTTTTAAATGGGGGAATTCCCTGGTGGTCTAGTGGTTAGCACTTGGCACTTTCACTGCTGTGGGCCTGGATTCAGTCCCTGGGGAACTAAGATCCTGCAAGGCGTGTGGCGCAACCAAAATAAAAGTCACCATCTTTGTGGTAAACAGCAGCAATAGGAAGTAGATATAAGTGTCTTTTAAGAATGTGTCCATTTCATCTGAAGAGTCAAACTTATTGGCATGAAGTTGTTTATAATATTTTCCTATTAGCCTGTTTTTAAAATATTTTTTAAATTTTATATATTTATTTATTTTTGGCTGTGTTGGGTCTTCATGTCTGCACACAGGCTTTCTCTAGTTGCAGCTAGAGGGAGCTACTCTTCGTTGTGGTGCATGGGCTTCTCATTGCAGTGGTTTCTCTTGTTGCGGAGCACGGGCTCTAGGCGCGTGGGCTTCAGTAGTTGTGGCACGCGGGCTCAGTAGTTGTGGCGCACGGGCTTAGTTGCTCCGCGGCACGTGGGATCTTCCTGGACCAGGGCTCGAACCCGTGTCCCCTGCATTGGTGGGCGGATTCTTAACCACTGTGCCACCAGGGAAGTCCCAGAAGGTTTGATTATTGACTTTGGACCTTTCTTCTTTTTTAATATAAGCACGTAAAGCTCTAAAGTTCCCACCCAGCACTGTTTTTGCTGCATCCCACAAATTTTGTTTTCATTTTCACTCAGTGCAAAATATTTTGTAATTTCCCTTGTTACTTCCAAATCTTTCTATTCCCGATTTCTAATTTAATTCCTTTGTGGTCAGAGAGCATACTCCGTGTGAGTTCAATCTTTTTTACATTTATTGAAACTTCTGGGCCTTTTATATGGTCCAGTCTACAGCCTGTTTTGATGAACGTTTCATGTGCAAGTGTCTGGTAGCCACTCCAGCTTTCTCATTGTTAATGTTTGCATGTGTGATAGGCAGACTAATAGCTCCCCAAAATGTTCATATCCTACCCTTGGGGACCTATGAATATATTACCTTACATGGCAAAAGGGACTTTGCAGATGCCATTAAAATTAAGACCTTGAGATGGGAAGATTGTCATGGATTATCCAGGTGTGCCAAATCTAACCACCTGATTCCTTAAAGGCAGAGAACCTTTCCTGGCTGTAGGCACATGGAGACATGACAACAAAAGAATGGTCAGGGTAGTGTGATGT